TTTAATTTAAATAAATTGTTTTAAATTATATTTTTAGTAGTATAATAGTAACTCAAACTGGCATATACATTTTATTTTAAACTTCAGAAGTTGTGCTACATGTAACTTCTATTTTGTTTTATGATTAACAGTACTTTATTTTCTTCTTATCTTTCATTTTTATCGGACATTTTATTGGAAGAAACATATTATACTGTTGATAAATAGAATTATTATATTGCAATCTTAGAAGGAATATTATAACGTGCAGTGATATAATAATAATGTTCGGAATAATTGATAAATAGGTTTCATTTGATAAACAATATTTATTTACCTTTTTCTAATAATTTCAAGAGTACCTTTCAATAGTTACAATGTCAACATATTTTATCTAATATTTATGCATTTGTTTACATAATGTGTAATTACACAGTGTTTTACTTCATGGTTACTCGTATGTATTCTGTTAAAGTGCAATATATTCAATTGTTTTGCACATGTCAGATAAACGTTCGTTACAGTAATTAACATAATTGTATAGTCTATCATGTGGAAGTTAAACATTTATTAATTAATTTTCATATATTTCTTAATCCAAGTTCACGATATCACACTAAAGAATAAATTTTCTGATAATATATTTACAAAATTAGTTCAAGATATTAGACACGCAGTTAATAATATACCGGGTGTTCCAGTTTTTTCCGATCAAAAATTGTCAGTACCTCCTACCGGTAAACGTAAGAAAAAGTCTTATATAAACATAGGTCGTTTGAAGCTTCGTTAAACAGTTATAACAAAAATACGAAATACGAAGGGAGTGATAATGAAGTTGCAGTTCCTGACATAAGACAAGAATGACACTGACAGAAGTTACATTCGTCACCTTCAACGACCTCAGATCGTAAACACAGCTCGCATAAAGTCAGATGTACATATCGCTGACCTCTTCCTATTTTGAATCATAACTACACACCCGTTATATGTAATTTCCTATTATTGTTATAACTTTTCAATAAAGCTTCAAACGACCTATGTTTATATAACATTTTTCTCTTATCTATGCCCATAGAACACACTCACAAAGTTTGATCGACAGAAACTTGGACACCTAGTATATGATGTACACGATATACGAGAATTGTTTCAACGTTTAATTATTGTTCCGTAAAATTTAAGATGTACAACATGTTATCACACGACAATAACAGATATGTACTGTTATCAAACGATTCAGTGCAGGAATAATTGACTAAACGTATTATTGTTTATGTATTATCCCAGGCCCAGCACCATGGCGGCTGAGGAGGGTGTGCTGAGTGGCGGACTTGGGGCGAAATTAAAATGTCCGACCCCTATATCGCGCTTGAGGGTGGAGAAGATCGAAGGTGGTCTCATGGTAGCTGGGGTTGTAATAGCTGCGAACTGCCAGATTGCTCTTCCGGCATTCGGCTTTCTCTTTATGCTCGTCGGCGCTGTGCTCACTGGTTTGTATCTTCCACCTTATTGTTTCCACCTATCTATCCATCTACATACTTATATTCTACATTTGGTACCATTGTGTTCGGTTGGAATTTTCTGCTAATCTCAGAACAAAGTAACGAATAAAAGATTCTCGGTAGTCCTTCGGCGTTGTTAGCGCTTCTGTGGAATTGTTTTTTTTTTTTGCGTCAAGCGGATGACAAGATAAATGCCGCGATACGCGACTCAAAGATCGATTGACGAGTAATAAATAGAACGGTTTGATATAATGCTTTTAGCCTAACGAAAGTTTGCGCTTACAATTAGAGGAGTAGCATGGGGAATACGCGGTATCGAATATTACCTTTTCTAGCAAATGTGTATAGCTTCGAATTTTTAGACGTTCATTCTTACCGGAAAAATTTGTTAATATCTATACCTACGTTTCTGTTTTTTTAAATATATTTAAAGTTCAAAGACAATGAAACGGTATATGTACCGCGAAGAATGTATATGCATAAAGTACATAATTTTGATTTAAGTTTAATATAAATTTTATACTGTTCAAATTAAAAATATTTTTTAATGTAGTAAACAGTATGTATTAAAATTTTATCCATATTACAAAAAGTAATAAAGGTCGAACATCGATTATTGCTTTTGTTACATCCTTTATTATTAGTATTACGTATTGGCTTTAAAAAAATATAAAAAGTAGACTTAAGAGTCAATTTAGTCAACTTAAAAGTTATAATAAATTGAGAAATTTAAGTTGTATCTCTGCAGTTAATTAATTGTTTCATTTTTAAATGATTTCTGAACAGATAGTGAATTTGTTTCTATAAAATTTTGTAAAAAACCTTAACAAACGATATATATACATGTACATATATCATTAAATGAAATAGGTATATTAAATTTATATTTGCAACACAGTGATTTAATAAATAATATTGCCAAAGTAGTCTGAGAAACTACGTTTTTGGTAACGTCTTAAAAACAGATGTCCGTAGTTAAGAGTTAAGTCATGTAATAGTTTCTATACAAATATAACGGGTGTCCCAATACTTATGAACGCTAATGTACATAATAATTAGACTGCAGATGTTTATTCAAATGCATATTTTTATTGGTAATAAAGTGAGTCCTGGATAGGAATTTATTTTGTATTTAGAAGATTTTAACTATGTATAACACTATTTATTTTGAATATTTTCCATATTGCATATGTTTTGCATTTTCTTTTTTTAAGAACATATGCAAAAATAAATTAATTGATAAACATCATCAATTAACTACAGCTAACATAGAAAAATGCTTATAATTTATTGTTATTTAAATTATAATCATAATGTTTAAATAATGAAGTTATAATAATTCCATTATTTTGGCATATTTTCAGTATACTTATTACATATCCCATATACTTTTTGCTACTGTTATATTTTTGCATATTTCGACATATTTTATAAACATTCACAGTCCAATAATAATAAATATTTGAACGATTGAACAGTTAATACTCAATAATAATAATTAGACGAATGTAGACATGTTACAATAAGATTGCATAAGCAACGAATTTATCGGCTGCACTTCAATGGAAAATTACTATACATGTATTAATTGAAGAATCGTTCGGAACTTTCCACTTTGGAGAAAGTATACGGGCCACAGGAAATTATAGAATTGCAATGTCCGAGAAAGTTGACGAGTACATCAATTCATAAATGCTCCAATACTACTATTGTACACAGCTGCTTGCGCGTATGGATAATATACTCATGAAAACATGCATGAGCGCACGTTAAAGTATTTTTCGTAATTGATATTAGTATCAGTGAAAAGTTACATTTAATGTTCCACATGTGGAGGATAACATGAAATATTGATACTTAAAAATATTAAATCTTTTGACACTCTGAGCTAATCATTTTGAAAATGAAACGAAGTTGAATTTGTTTCATATTCTAACTTTTACACGATTTATAAATAAATAAGTGAGCACATTTACATGAGAATTCTTTGCGAAATGCATTATGCAATTTTTCAATTTAAATTAACATCTTACAACGGGGTGATAGTTTAATTTTACTTGATAACCTGTTATTAAGTTTGATTTTGAAATGAAGTTTAAACTTAAATGAATAAGTAACGAAGTTCTTAAATTAAACAGAATTTTTTACTTCCATACTATGCATGATTATTAAGTAGAAAATCAAGTGAAATTGATACTTCATGCATGTAATTTTTGATACTTACAATTTTATACAGGGAAACATGAAAATGTTTATGCACACTTTTCATCATTTTGGCTTTAGCATTGAAACTTGTTTCTATTTTTGAAATTTGTGTATTATGTAGTTCTGTTTCGGTAGTATTAATAGTTACTCTTTGTTTCAAATGAGTGTCAAATCTATTCCAAGGGAATGTCACAAAATTTTCAATTTTTCTAAACTTTTTTCCTTGCTTTAATATACAAAATTTAACTTAAACAGCAGATAAGAATACATACGTGTAACAAAAAAGTTACAAAAATTTTTACGTGAAAATATTTATACGAAATTTTAGTTAACATTTTTTATACACGTACATACATTTTTCAACTTTATACACTGAATTAAAATAGACAATGGTGCAACTTTTTTTTGGGTTGATAGATGATGGCGGTAAATCATTCTTCATTCTCTGGGCCATGTAAAATGTAATTATCGTGAAATGTAATTCTGACAAGGCTTCTGTACATTAATTGGAAGTCAGTATAGTACGTGAACTAGAAATTCAGATCAAATAATTCCAGTGTCCAGTGATTTGGAACCAATGTTTGTTTTTAATGTACTTTCAGACATTAAGTAATTGCTTGTATTTTCCTATTTGAACGCGTTACACTGAAATGTTTTAAATCGCTTAATCAACTTTTTATACAGGGTGTAAGTAGGCCGAGTTACATATAACTCGGTTGCTATTGAACATAGAAGAAAATTGTAGAGGAAAGTTTTGCATGGTTTAACTGGCTGCATCATCCTGTAATGCGGCTTTTTACGGAAGTGCATCGGTGCAGTTGCAAAGTGCAATTGCAGTCGTTTTTTGAATGCTTCTCTACGATTTTTTTACTTGAATCGATTCTATGTGCTATTCTGAATAAAAAAGTATTAGGGTACAATCGTGAAAAACTCAATACTTTTCGAAATATTCACCTCTTTTTCCAGAATCTACAGTAAATGTTCAAATGTCCCACCATTGCATTCTAAACATTTTCTTACACGATTTTTCACACTTTTCATCATAGTATTTAATTGTTCCACTATAATATTTTTCTGTTTTCAATAACAACCGAGTTATAATTCGGCCCAGTTATTAGATACACCCTGTATATTAACCCCTTAATCTATGATTTCTTTTCCGACTATGCATCTAAGCGTCAGCCATTTTCTGTTTTAGTACTGTATCAGGTAACAAAAACTAATCTGTCACAGATTAATTACATTTAGCAATCCTCCATCTTACATATTCAAACGAAAATTAGGATTACAATTAATTTTTCTTACTAATATAACTATTTTTCTCACATCTTCGCCAGAATCTGCCACGAGTCTGACACATTGTCATATGTTAAGGGGTTAAGGAGATACAGTAGGACACATATTTTTGTCCAAATTTTAAAATAACTTGTATTTCTACTAATATTCTTTTCTCTGTATTATAAGACAGTATAGGATACTTACTAGTTCTATTCATTTTGTTATATCAGATATTGCATAAATCTCTTATATCCATGTTAAAAATAACCGGGATACCTACTAACAGTCCGTAATCTCTGTGCACAATGTAGAATAATTCAGTTATAACACGTCTTTCGTCTTATAACACATGGACGCACACATACATACCATATAGTACAGTGTTACCATAGCAAAGTTAATTTGTAAACTCAAGATTAAGTTAAACTTGAGGTTAAACAATATGTTTTTGGGCATAACACGTAAAAATTGTCTTCTAGGAAGTCGTAACATTGTTACACCATGAAACGATTGTAGGAAAGTATTATTTAACTCGTTCCACATACATCACGTTAAACTTAGTTATTACGTATAGTGTTAATCTCATCTAACAAGCATTTCGTTTAATTGGTTCTTTAACAAGCAGAAGGCTGAATGTGTAAATAATTTGAGATGTTCGAAAATTGTCTCGTTTTGTTTGTAAAAATGAAAAAAAAAATTGTTAACAATATTTCGATTTTCGTGATAAGTAACACTAAGTTGAAGAAATTCTGTCTGTAAAAAAGCAAAATTATGATCATCCCATGAGCAATGTCGTTTTAAAAGCCCAGTTTTAATACAAAAATAATAGTATTTACACTTACTATTAATCTATGATATATTGACCATTGTTTGTACAGATCATTTGCAATATTTTCAGGCACCTTTTCAATTCTCTTTTTAAAAGAATTCTTCTGTTGAATTAAAAAACTGATCTAATGTTAACTTTAAGTGATGTGTATTTTTAAAGTTTCTGTCATCTGAAAAATTCTATAATGAATGAAATAGATGGTAATTCAATGGCCAGGAGAATATCCGAGATGTGGTATTAATTCCCAGTTCAGTTATTTGTTCTTGATGTGTACGAACATCGAACCAAGATAAGAAGCGACATTATTCGTGGGATGGCCTAATAATTGGATTTGTTAGATGTAGATTTACTATCACTTCTCTTGGAAGAAGTGCAGTTATAAAAAGAGGGAATATTAAATTGTGCAATATTTACTTCTGTTAATTTGTCATAGCTTTAGTTGAGACAAAGATGTATCTTTAGTGCAGTGTTTAGAATTATTTTGTATGCCACGTATTTTGTGCATACATGTAGTATACATAAAGTGTACATATCAGACGTATTGATTTATTCAGTACAGTACTGATTTTAAAGGCTCCGTACTGATTTCATTTTTATACTGAATGATGTACTGATTTCGAGAAAAACAACTCTAAATATACAAAAATATATATATATACATTTGTACATTTTTTGC